ACCCCCCCCCCGCCACCTTTTTTTTTTCTCATGCAGGGTCTCCCTCTCCCTCTGTTGCCCAGACTGGAGTGCAGTGGCATAATCACAGCTCACAGCAGCTTTGACCTCCTGAGCTTAAGCAAAATGGGGTCTCATTGTGTTGACCAGGCTGGTTTCAAACTCCTGGTCCCAAGTGATTCTCCTGCCTCAGTCTCCCAAATTACTGGGAATACAGGAGTGAGCCACGACACCTGACCCCTAAGTCCTCTCTGGACCCTATTTCTCTGCCTCCTTCCCTTTTCCCTGTAGCTTTACAAGCAGCCTAGGATAGCTCCCCAAACCTACACCAGGTCCCTAAATCCCAGGATGCGTGCTATTTATTCAGCCTGCGCTTTTCCTGATTATTTTTCAGGGTCCACTTCAAATACTACCTACCTTCTCCACAAAGCAAACACTGTCTTGGGTGCAACTGACTGCTTCCTACTGTGGGCTCCCACTGCATGGCTACGAGCCCTTCTGTGAGGGCACTGACCTCAACTGCCCTTTCAACTGAGTTATTTGTGTCTGTGTGCATCTGCCTCTTGCCCACAGTGGTTCTTAATACCATTTATTAAACGAATGAACAAGTGAACTGCAATGGGCAGTGCAAGGAACCCTGGTCTGGACTTGGATTCCAGTCTTCACTCTCCCATGAACCTGCTGTGTGATGTCAGACGCCTCTCATCCCCTCTCTGGGCCTCAGGTTCCAAATCTGTGCAATGAAGCAGATGGTGGATGGTCCCTAAGGTGCCTTCATGCTCTGATACTCTAACATTCTAAGTTCTGTGCCTTGGAGTACTGCTCTCCGCACCAGCTGTGGGCAGTAACGACAGCGACAGCGAGAGGAGTGCATCTCTATAGCGAATGTGTTGGCTAATGAATGTGTTTTGACCTCACGCAACGCATGCATTGTATGTGATGATAAGGTCTTCCCGCATGATGGACCCTGGTGATGAATTTTCAGGGACTGTGGTTGGCTGCAGGGATTACTGGGGGAAACTTTGTAGATCCCCTCAGAGTGGGAGTGCCTTGTCAGGTTGTATGAGCATCCATTAAGCACCCCTATAGGCCCCAGGCACTCTTCCAATCCTCTTTCATTTATTAGCAACTACTCATTGAGCCTTTATTAAACCTCAGGCACTTTGCTGATGCTGGAGTTACAAAGGTTATGAAAATAAATGCAATTTCTGCTCTTGTTTGTGGAGCCTGCAGTCTTGTAGAAGAGAAAGATGATTATCACATGT